GATTGGAGCAAGTTAACTGGTTAACGCCCAGCGTCATATATTTAGGACAGTTCCTTTTTTCAAAGACATTCATTGTGGTGGGAAACTTTTTTCAGTATTTTCATTTATCTGGGGGAATTAAAAGATTCCCAGATACCACAATGATTTAGTTTTCTGATTAGATGAAGAATTATAAGGAGCAAGTACTTTTTGATCTATCAAAGACTTTTTGAATGCTCTAACTATAGAAAAAACAATTAATTTCGATAATATATTTCATCACTTTTTCCATAAAACCACTTTTTGTATCATTTCAATATATATATTCGGGACAAAACGGGTTAATAGAAAACGGCATTTTCTGTAATTATTACGACAAATCACAGCTAAGCACTACTATAACCAGATAGAATAAAGTACAAACTTTTACTAACGTTTTTTTTAACGAAATAGGTAGTTGTTAATGCATAATTATGATTTACAATGCTTAATTTATTTTCAAACCCATTTATTGAACAGATGAAATTGTTGACAGTTTTGTAATTGATCATAGTTAAATTATTAAAAAATATGATCCATGCCTGGTAACTCTTTCGGATGATCAGGAAGATTTTATTTTCAGAATTTATCTGGTAGCCATATTAATGTATTCATACTTGATTCTTATTCTAATAAAATTGAAAAATTGGTTTAAAATTATTTTGATTGCCATTACATAATTGTAATTTAAACATACACATCTACCACGCATCGTTGAGTAAGATATATTTTCATCAACCTTTCTGAAAATAACGTTTACTCATGCTGATACAATTCTGAACAACTCCAAAATCAAACAAACACAGTTTAGAGCAAGCTGCTCAATTTATTTTTGATTCCTTTTTAGTTATTCAAGCAAAGAGCTTGAAACATTCATAAAAGCAACTCCATTGCCTGCTTACCTCATTGCTCAACCAAAACTGTTCAAAAATTCCTGATGAATGGGATAGGGGCTGCTTCGCGGCCCAGGTGCCCAATAAAATCTAAACACTAGGACTAGAGTAAGATATAAATGCTTCCAGAGATAAGAAATTACTATTTTGTGATCCTTAACTCGAGAGTATTCTATCCATTATTTTTATCCTTAACTTTAACCGAGTTAGAAGGAAGACTATAAATATAAACTATAGTCTGCTACCACTTTTGCTACTTCTCTCACACTGGTCTGCACTTACTGCCATTAATTCGGTCCCCCAAGAGCTCTATCTCTTGCAGAAGTGTGGATTTGTCCGCTCCTCGGACTGGTACATCGTAGTCTTCCTCAATTCAAATTTAAATCGTTAAGTAATTTGTATATATTATAAATATTGTATATAGTTATTCCTCAATCCCAGATTTGTTTTGTATATATACGTTTTGTATTTGTTTTGTATATATTTTTATTATCTTATCATATTTATGATTATCTAATCGTTAATTTACTTATGTAATCTTTTCAGCCCTTTTCACCCTCTTCTCTTATTCTTAATCAATTTCGATGAATAGTCCCCGGACTAGGTACTCCGTATCCAAAATTTAAATCGTTAAGTGCATCGTGTTGTGGATTAAATATAAATGAAAAGTAGGCTTACAATGTCATTTTAAAGTTAATTTCGCTACCACTAAGTAAAAGCTTTTTTGAAGTGTTTAAAAGTTGGCAGGTATACCGATTTGTAATGGAGTCACTCATTTAAATTAGTTCTAAAACGACGAATCGAATAACCCTAGTATTAGTTTTACACTTTAATAAACTAAAGTTCTGCCTTAACACTGAAATGGCATTTAATATGGCAAAATTAAATTTCATTTATTAAACAAATTGCTCGCTCTAAAACATTTCGAATAAATAATGAAAACGTTTCGTACTTTCAAACATATTTCATATCTGTTGAAAAGCACGTATTTACTTTAATAGAAACTTTGAAAGAAGGTATTTAGAACGAATTTTCGTGGCTAAAGGGTCAATGATAATTTTAAAAAGAAAAAAAAATATAGCATTTAAAATTATTAACGATGAAGCATTTAGTTTGAATTAATCTACGTAAAGAGGTCATATGAATATAAAATACCAATAAACTGAAAACGTTCATCTACAAGTTAAGTTAATGGCGAATACTCGCTTGCTCAACGAAAGGAAGTCAATAATTTATTCATACTCTCCTCTAAATGATTCTAATAAACATTTTATTATTCCACAAAATCTCATTGAATGAAAATTCCAAACATTTTTGAGAAAAATAACCTCTCAACGAATTCGCCTTGAAGGAATGTTGAATGAAAAATGAAGCAATTTCAAAAACTGAATGATGCTTCACAAAAATGGATTTTGAGTATTCAGCAAATTTCCTTCAACAGTAAAAAAATGGCTTTTCAGTCGATTAAAAACGCAGTTTCGCTTAGTTTTTAATCAAATTAGCGTAGAATTTTTACTTCCTCATAATCATCTTTCTAGTATAGATGAGTATTTATCTAAAATCTTGAGGGGGAAAAAGGTACTTAACTCATTAATAACTACAATATTCCCAGTTATGCCTTAGGTTTAGATAAATTGCAACAAGTATAAAATTTAAATTACTTAAATCATAACTCCCTGTAGATTGTTTGTATTAGCTTTCATGAAAATACCTTCGATTAACATAAAAAGTTTTAAACTACTTTTCTGAGAATAATAATATTTGTTTCATGAAAAATAGTTTAATTAACGACGTTAAAAGCATTTTGCAAAGAGCGTTGATTTTGACCCTGGAATAAAAGCTGTGGTGTCTCT